GGAGAGCTGCAAGCCTGGGCTGCTGGGGGGCTACCTGGGGCTGCTACGGAGCCTGCTGGGGCAGGAAGGCCCGGTCCAGCCGCTCAGCCTGCTGCTGGCACTTGCTCTGCGCAACACCTTGGTGATACAGGCCAGGGCGAGGGCCGGCCTGCAGGGCCTGCTTGTGGCCGGGGATACGCCCGCGGCAGGTGGTCCCTGGAACTGGACACTAGCTGAGGACGGGGATGCCCACCTTCAGCCCCAGGCACCCAGCTGGCCGGCTGCCGAGGAGGAGGCGTGTGGCCTTGCAGTGCTGGAGCCCAGTCCTGAGGAGGCCCGGGAGCTGCGGGCTGCTGTGGCCCAGCTTCTGGACACTTCCTACCTGCTCACTCCTGTGGCTCAGGCCCAGCTTCTGTGGCTGCTGGGCTGGGCTTTGCGGGGGCTTCGGGGACAGCCGCCAGTGCTCTTCAAGCCACAGTTGGTACGGCTGCTGGGCACGGCCCAGCTGACGCTGCTGCACGCCGTTCTGGCACTCAAGGCGGCCTTTGGTGAAGCCCTGTTCACGGCCCAGGATGAGGCCTTGCTGCTCCGCCGGCTCACCTTGGCCGCCCAGCACCCAGCCCTGCCCCTGCCCGCCCATCTCTTCTACCTGCACTGCCTGCTGAACTTCCCTGAGAACTGGCCTCTAGGCCCCACAGGAGAGGAGACGGCCCCCCTGCTGCTGGGGCCCCGGCTGTGCCGTGGCCTCCTACCCAGTCTTCTGCATGACCCGTCGGCCCTCCTGGCCCACCTGCATCTGCTGTGTTTGCTCTGTGCGGAAGATGAAGAAAAGGAGGAGAAAGGCCAGGATTGGTGTCCCCAGCATTACCTGGGGGAGCTGCTGGCTGGCCTGCGGCAGAGGGCAGCCCTGCATGGGGGCCCCCGGGCCTTGGCCACTCTCTGCTTCCAGGCCTCCTACCTGGTGGTTCACTGCCTAGCCACGCAACCTACGGTGCTGACACCGTTGACCCACGGACTGGCCCAGCTGTACCGCGCCCGGCCTGCCCTGGCTCCCCATTTCGTGGATCTCTTGGATAGGGTGGGCCCTGAACTGGGGGAGCCCCTGAGAGCGGCCTTGCGGCAGGAAGTGGTGTCCAGGCCGGGCAGGGACGAGGCCCTTCGTTGGCACCTGCAGATACTGTCCAAAGTGGCAGACGGGAAGGCTCCAAGTGCCACCCTAGGCTTCCTGCGCGCGGCGGCGGCCCACTGCTCGGACTGGGGCCTCCAGCAGGCGCTGCTGCAGGTCTGCCGTGCTCTGCTGCGCGCGGGGGTCGCGGAAGGCCTGGCCGACTTGCTGCAGGCACTGGCCAGACAGTTGGAGGACCCTGATGGGCGGGACCACGCACGCCTCTACTACATCCTCCTGGCCCACCTGGCGGGGCCCAAGCTGGGGGTGGCCCTGGGCCCCTCGCTGGCCGCCCCTGCATTGACCTCCTCACTGGTGGCCGAGAACCAGGGCTTTGCCGCGGTGCTGATGGTGCAGGAGGCCCCGGCCCCGATGCAGCTAAGTGTGGGGCCCCGCAGAGCGGCGGGCCCGGTCCCAGTGCTGCAGCTGCAGGTGGAGGTGCTGGAGCCTCTGTACTCCGTGGAGCTGCGCTTCCGCGTGGAAGGACAGCTGTACGCACCCCTGGGCGCGGTCCACGTGCCCTGCCTGCTCCCGGGCCGCCCCTGCCGGCCTCTGCACCTGCCGCTGCAGCCGCGTCGCCCGGCTCCCGCGCGGCTGGCCGTGCGCGCCCTGTTCGCCACCCCCGCCGGCCTCACGTGCCATGCCCACCTGCCGCCCCTGCTGGTGAACTTCGCCGACCTTTTCCTGCCTTTCCCCCGGGCCCCCGACGGGGACAACCAGGGCTTCTTTGAGGAGCTCTGGGACTCCTGCCTGCCAGAGGGCGCCGAGAGTCGCCTCTGGTGCCCTCTTGGGCCACAGGGGCTGGAGGCCTTGGTGGCCCGCCACCTGGAGCCCTTTGTGGTGGTGGCCCAGCCCCCCACCAGCTACCATGTGGCCATCCGCCTGCCCCCAGCCTCGAGGCTGTTGTTGCGACTGGAGGCGGCCCAGGGGGACGGAGTGCCCGTGGCCCTGCGGACTGATGACTGGACCGTGCTGCCCCTGGCCGGGGACTACCTCCGTGGGCTGTCAGCCGCTGTCTGAACCGGGAGGCCAGGCCAGACCCTGAGCCGGTCTTGCCCAAAGGAGGGCACCGAGGGCCAGGACACAGTCCTGTGGCTCTTTTCTTAAAAAAACAAAACAAAACAAAAACTTACATTCACCAATGACCTTCACTGGTTGGTTTTCTTTTGAGCCCTGGCTGGGGGCATGCACACGGGGGTGGGGGAGGAGAGGCTCCAGGAAGACTTCCAGACTAGGAACCCCCATACTGCAGGGCTCCAGAGTTTCTTCCTGCCGGGCAAGTGGGAGAAAAAACATCCTTGTCTCTGCTTCCCAGAGCCAGAGAGGGTCGGGCCTTGGCCCAAAGCCATGCAGCAACTTAGGAACATGGGAGCTGGCCTTGGGCTTCCTCACCTGGGGACCAGGGCTTTTCAGTGCCAGAGCTTTGTGGGGTCCCTGCCCCAGTGAGCTCAGGCTAGCTAGGACGACGGTCCAAAGGCCAGAAACGGAGGAGGCTGCAGGGGTCCGGTGGCCCCCTCCTGGGGAGGGGGCTCCCCATGGTGCGTTGATTGGAACCAGCTCTAGGAAGGGCCCATCAGTACAGTGTGGGAGCCGAGAGAGAGAGAGGCCCCACAATGTGGGCTACAACGAGGCTGACTTTCCCTCACCCCAACCCCACCTGTGAGCCTAAGAATCTTCTAGATAAGACAAACTCGTCCCCCGTGGCCTTTTTCCACATACGTGAGATGCTTTGGGTTCAAACGTATTGAGGCCATCTCTAACTGCCAGGCACCACGCTGGTATTTCCCACAGACGATGCCTCACGTCATGCTTGCAACAGCTCAGCAGGGCCCCACAGAGGAGGAAATCTGTAGGCCAGAGGGTTGAATGATTTTCCTGTGGTCACCCACCTGGTTAGTAATCGTGTTTTGTCATCCCGGAGCAGGTTTCCATTACCACACTGTCAGAAGGGAGAGCTGCGCAGGCCAGAGGGCCACAGAGTCCCCAGGCCTCTCTGCCCTGGGCCAGCCCTCGGGCGGTTGCAGGAGCTGCAGTTGGCAGTGCTGGGCCCAGAAGGACCAGGGGCTCGGGCCTAACTTCTGTGGCCCCTGCCTCTTGGGCTCCCAGCGCACAGGTTCCTGTGGGCCATTCCTGCCCCTCCTGATTGCGGCAGAACAGGAAAGGGGAGCAGGGCCTGGGACAAGCGGGGCTCTTCCGGGTCAGGTCAGGAGGTCTGTCCCGAGTTTGAGGTACGGCAGTCAGTCGTGTGATCTGGGCCAGCCATGGCAGATCAGGAAGGGGTTGGTTCCAGGAAACCAGCTTGTCCAGCTGTTGGTGGCCGAAAGGGATTGAAGATGACCGGCTACTTCCATGGCAGCTGGGAAGGCCAGAGGAGAGGGCCTCCGGGAGCCAGCCCCAGCACTGCTGAGTTCCCGAATGCACTGCCCTGCCTGCAGTCCAGGTGCTGGGCACAGACCCTGGAAGGTGGGTGCAGCTGCCAGCAGGGCCTCCTGACCCCCCGCAGCGCCGGCGTGCCGGCACCCTACAGAAAGGCTGAGCTCCCGAAGCTGCCAAACAGCCTCGGCCTTCAGAGGGCATCCAGTGAGTGGGCCGGATGTCTCCCAGAGACCTCCAGCACAGGGGAGTCTGGAAAACATGCTTCTTTTCTTTTTGCCCTCAGATGCAGGAGGTAGGGTTAATCCTTAGCCTAAGATTACCATCACTGGCCTGTGTAAGGACTCACCAGCCATCCTTTTGTCCATCTGTCTAGCCATCCATGCATCCACCCACCTCTCCAGTGCTGGGCCCCAGATGACCCCCAACTTCCCCATCCCCACCACACATCTGCCACAGTGGGCGTCATAAATGTCCCCTGATGTGTGTCTGTGACAATTTCCCTAGGATACACACAAGGAGCAGAATTGCTGAATCATAAGGCATGCATGTGCTTAATTGGACTAAGAGATGTCTGAGTAAAGTTTTTAGTTTTGCATCCTCTCAGTATGCCTAGGAAAGTAGGGACGGACATGAGCGAACCAGCCCACGACATCCACCACAGTCTACCCCTTTGCCTGGTCCACGTCCACATACCCCTGCTCACACTTCAACTTCTCGAAGGTCGTAGCAACAACAACCTGCTCCCACAACAACCCCTCCTACAACCAAGATTTCTTGCCAAAAGGGAAGACTCCAATTTCCATCGGCCACTGGCCACCTGTCTGGACATTCACAATGTTCTCCAGTTGCTGGTTCTCCACTTTCTGGTACATTCATACCCTTCCCCACCTCCCTGAGGTTAGGCCCTGCCATGAGACCAGCTCTGGCTACTGAAACGGAGAGTGTCAGTTCTGGGGCAAGACATTCACTGCTAGCACTCAGCCCCCTGGCTCTCTCCCGCCCTGGCATGGCCGTGGTGGAAATGTTCGTGGATGTGGATGTGCTCAATAGTTGGGTCACGATCCCCTCTTGGTATCCTGTAACAAAGGCACTGGACTAAGAAGGCAATCATTAATAACACACACTTTTTATGACACAAGAGGAAAGACATGGGCAGGGATAGTTGTTAAGCTATATTTTACTTGCAAGGAAGAAAGTATTGTGTAATGAGTTACAAGGCCACAATGGGGGCTTCCAACTTTTGCAAATAAGAACATTGTGCACGGTGTCCAGTTAACTTCAAAGAAACAACAGATGATTTTTTTCATATCAGTATGTCCCAAACATTAGGACATACTTTTACCCAAAAAAGAAAAATAGTTGTTTCTCTGAAACTCATATATAATCAGGCATCCTGCATTTTATCTCTCACCCCTAGGTTGGTATTTATAACTTATTTCTTCTATGATCCATTATATATATATATATATATATATATATATATATATATATTTTTTTTTTTTTTTTTCCCTTAAAGGCTCTTTACGTAGTAAGGTGACCTTCATCCCTGAGACGTCTGAGTCCTTGGTAAGTCTGCTTGTGTTGAGTGTCTTTAGTTCTTTGAGTCCTGGGAACTCCCCCTCTGCATTGTGTGACCACAGCAATTTCTTCCTTGCTCATCAGGACCAATCATCCTTTCAGAGCTGTTGGTTCTAAGGCATGAAAAGGGCAAAATAACAAGGTAGCGGTCTTCCCTTCCAGTTCAAAAGAACCAGTGCTGTGTCCATTAGCATTCACCAAGGACTCTAAACTAGCAAGGCCCCAAACTGGAGGGATGAGAGGCAATATTTTGAGAGAGACTTCCAGTAGCAGCGCAGGTTCTCATCCCCCCCCTCCACCCAAGTAATCTGGAATAAAGAAAAGAGAAAGATGTAATTACACAAAACCAAAATGCTCAAACTTAAAAGTACCTGTAAGTAAAAACAAACAAAAAACAAGGGACAGCGCACCGTCTCCACGTCCCCGTCCCAGCCCCACCCGGCGCGGGCTCTGGGCAGACTGGCGGAGAGAAACTAGGAGAAGAGGGGAGCTAGTAGTGTCTGACGCTTGATGGAAGACCTCCCAGAAAGACTGAGTCCACCTGAAGTCTGAAAATGTGAAGACATGTCTAGAGCAGGTCAGAGCTTTGACTATAAGGGAGGGATTTCAAAGTACATGGTGATTTGACTGGGCAGTCTTTGAAACACAGATTCGGGGAGAGCGAAGGGCAAAAAGGAAGGGAGAAGTGCCTTTTGGCATTTGGCTGTCAAAGGGGAAGCAGATGGAGAAATTTCATGGCTCTGCAAGACAAAAGAACAAAATCAAAGGACCCACAACTCCTTCCCCACTCTCCAAACAAATCCATGAAAGCATCTGGACTCTGCTGAGCTGGCAGAAGAGGGAGAATTAAACTTGGAATAAAACACCCAGCACCACAGAAATGAGCAAGAAAAGATTAACAGGTTCATATGGAGTTATTGCAAAATATCAAAAAGGGAATTTCATTGCATATCAACCAAGGAAAATTTACACACACCCCTGAATAAAGAGCCACAAAATGTAAGAAAGCTGAACACAGCACTCTAAACAGAACTACACATACTCAAAACAAGTGTTTGAAGATATGCAAAATCACCCAGAATGAGAAATTTTGAAAAGAATGGAAATAGATAAAACCCAGGAAAAGAATGAAGAAGGTTGGCTGAACTCAGGAGAGAATTGGAAGAAACAGACAAAATTATCCAGAAATACAGATTACATTATAAGATGCCCAAAGGAGAATGGACTCAAATAAATGTATAATAAGGGACATTGAAGAAAGACAGAAAAACAACCAAGAAAATGAGATAAAGAAGTAGAAGTCAGAACCAAATAATGGTAGAAGATTGTCAAAGAAGGAATCCCATTTGTATTAGTGGAGTCTTAGAAGAGAAACCAAACAATGAACCAGAATTGATAATTAACACTCTAAGAAAACTTTCCAAGAGCAAAAAATCTGCACATTGGAAGAGCCCACTGGGAACCTTGGAAAATTAGAACAATCAACATTGAGACATATCCTCATAAAACTATTAGATTTCAAAATATTTTTTAAAAAATTCTCAAGGGGCACGTGGGTGGCTCAGTTGGTTAAGCTTCCAACTCTTGATTTCAGCTCAGGTCATGATCTCAGTGAGGTCGGGCTCTGCGCTGGACATGGAGCCTGCTTAAGATTTTCTTTCTCCTTCTCCCCTTGCCCCCTCTTCCACTGGCTCCTGTGCTCACTCACTCTCTCTCTCTCTCAAAAAAAAAGCTCAAGATCTTCAGGAAGAAAGATCAAATAACTTACAAAGGCAAAAGAATCAGAATGGCATCAGATTTTTAAAAGCCAACATACAGAGCAATATAGCAATGAGACAGCTTTTTAAATTTTTTTTAATGTTTTATTTATTTATTCATGAGAGGCAGAGGCAGAGGGAGAAGCAGGCTCCCCGCCTAGCAGGGAGCCCGATGCGGGACTCGATCCCAGGACCCTAGGATCATGACCTGAGCCAAAGGCAGACGCTTAACCATCTGAGCCCCCCAGGCGCCCCGAGACAGCTCTTTTTAAACATTCTGTTTTTTAAAGTGTGAACCAAGGATTGTATATTCAAACAAGTTGTCCTTCAAGTATTAAGGCCATAGGAAAGTTTTCTGTTTTTCAACAAGTACTTCAGGAATTCGGCACCCATGAGCCAATCTGAAAGAGAATGCACTTCATCCAACCAAGAGACGATGAATGTCTGTATATATGACCTAAGGCTAAAACAAAGGTGGCATGAGGGTAAATAAGTAAAAATGTTTTATATTGCGATAGCGAATGTAATTAAAAGCGTGGGAGAAGAAGAGAGAGGGAGGAAAATAGGATAAAGCTCACCGGTGGTATGGGTGACTCAGCTCCAAATTCACTCTCATTGGCTGCTCTGTGAAAATAAATCTGGGCCCTTTAAATATCGGTCTCGGCCAGCTAGCTCATTATTAAGCTTGGCCAGCAGAGGGCGCAGAGGAGCCACTGCAGAAGGAAGTTTGCGGTCCACCGTCGGCGGGACTCACTAGGACAACCTCCTGCAGCTTCTCCAGTACCGGAGGCTCCAGGGATCAAACGATTCCAGCACCCATGGCTTTACCCGCACCAGCCTGCTCTCGTGCATGGCAGTCAGCAGGCAGCAGTTTCCCAGCACCTCACTTGGACGGTTTTGCAGCAAACTATCTCGAGTGAGAGGGGCGCCTGGGTGGCTCAGTTGGTTTAGCATCTGCCTTCAGCTCTGGTCCAGATCTGGGATCCTGGGATCCAGCCCCACGGCGGGCTCCCCGCTGAGCGGGGAATATGCTTCTCACTCCGCCCCTCCCCCTGACTTGTGCCCTCTCTCTCTCAAATAAATAAATCAATCTTAAAAAAAAAAAATCTCCAATGAGACACATCCCCATAAACAGGCTTCCCTGGCACCCTACAGAATGGTTTTCCAGCAAGTTCCACCAGCACAGCACCACAGTAACTTCTCTGTCACCCTGTGAGCCACAGGCATGCTGTGTCCAGCCGGATCTGGATCTCAGACTTGTGGGTAGGAAGGGAGATGCTCTTCCGGGCATAGCCTTGCTGTAAATGGGGAGTGGGGGGAGCTGCTTCCTATATCTGCTATTTCTATTTGCTCTGGAGTTCTCTTTTTCTATTACTGGCCAATGCCTTGGTACTTCAGTCCCCTGTTATAGTTAATAATTCTTTATATTAAACTTCCCCCATTCAAATTACTGTGTGATTTCTCTCCTGATTGGGCCCTGATAAAACAGGCAATAGGTGGGAGTTAAAGGTACCAGTAAAAATGGATAAGCCAGACAGAGTTTTGAAACTGAGGTGTTTTTTTTTTTAAAGGTATAAATACAGTGGTAAACACTAGAACAAAAAAATATAAGCCTTCCTATTTATCTTATAAATTAAAGATCAAAGAATAGGGGCACCTGGGTGGCTCAGTTGGTTGAGCATCCAACTCTTGATTTCGGCTCAGGTCATGATCTCAGGGTTGTGAGATCCCACATCTCCCACCCCTCTCAGCACGGAGTCTGCTTGAGATTCTTTCTCTCCCTCTGCCTCTGCTCCTTCCCCCGCACACACTTGCACTCTCTCTAAATAAATAAATAAATAAATAAAATCTTTAAAAATTATATCAAAGAATATACACCTCATAGAGAAAGAAATGTCAGAACCAGAAAAGATCCCGAATAGCCAAAGTAACGTTGAAAAAGAAAACCAAAGCTGGAGGCATCATAATTCTGGACTTCAAGGGGTATTAAAAGCTGTAATCATCAAGACAGTATGGTACTGGCACAAAAACAGACAGATCCAGAAATGGATCCAGAACTATATGGTCAACTAATCTTTGACAAAGTAGGAAAGAATATGCAATGGAAAAAAGGACAGTCTCTTCAACAAATCGTGTTGCCAAAATTGAATAGCAACATGCAGAAGAATGAAATTGGACCACTTTTTTACACCATACACTAAAATAAATCCAAAATGGATGAAAGACCTAAATGTGAGAGAGGAGTCCATCAAAATCCTAGAGGAAAACACAGGCAGCAACTTCTTTGACCTCGGTCATAGCAACTTCTTACTAGACACGTCTCCAGAGGCAAGGGAAACAAAGCAAAAATGAACTATTGGGATTTCATTAAGATAAAAAGCTTCTGCACAGTGATGGGAACAATCAACAAAACTAAAAGGCAACCAACAGAATGGGAGAATATATTTGCAAATGACATGTCAGATAAAGGGCTAGTATCTAAATCTATAAAGAATTTATCAAACTCAACATCCAAAACATAAATAAATTCCCAGTTAAGAAATGGGCAGAAGACATGAACAGACATTTCTCCAAAGAAGACGTACAATTGGCTATCAGACGTATGAAAAAATGGTCAATATCACTCATCATCAGAGAAATACAAATCAAAACCACAATGAGATACCACCTCACGCCTGTCAGAATGGCTGAAATTAACAAGTCAGGAAACGACAGATGTTGGCGAGGATGCAGAGAAAGGGGAACCCTCTTACACTGTTGGTGGGAATGCAAACTGGTGCAGCCACTCTGGAAAAACAGTATGGTGGTTCCTCAAAAAGTTAAAAATAGACCTATCCAGGGCGCCTGGGTGGCTCAGCCCGTTAAGCGTCCGACTCTTGATTTCGGCTCAGGTCATGATCTCAGGGTCGTGAAATCAAGCCCTGGATCAGACTCTGCGCTCAGCAAGGAGTCTGCTAGAGATTCTCTCTCTCCCTCTGCCCCTCCCCCTGCTCTCTCTCTCTCCCAAATAAATAAATAAATCCTAAAAAAAAAAAAAATGGAACTACCCTATGACCCAGCAATTGCTCTACTAGGTATTTATGCAAAGGATATAAAAAATACCGATTCGAAGAGGCACATGCACCACAATGTTTACAGCAGCAATGTCTACAATAGCCAAAGTATGGAAAGAGCTGAACTGTCCATTGGCTGATGAGTGGATAAAGAAGATGTGGTGTATATATATATATATACAATGGAATATTACTTGGCCATCAAAAAAGAATGAAATCTTGCCACTTTCAAGTTGGAGTCTGACTGTGGGGAGAGTGGCCACTTCACCCTGACTCCATCAGTGAAAGAGGTATGCACTAACCTTCCAAGTACCTACGTTTGTGCATAACTTATTGGGTGCTCAAGCCTAATAAAATGGTCAGGATGAACATGTGATTCTTTTAAATGTTAAAGATTTTTGTATAGAAAAAAAATCCATGATGTGGATGGAACTAGAGGGTATTATGCTAAGCGAAATAAGTCGGTCAGAGAAAGACAAATACCATATGATTTCACTCGTATGTGGAATTTAAGAAACAAAACAGACGAACATAGGGAAAGGGAAGGAAAAATAAAATAAGATAAAAACAGAGAGGGAGGCAAACCATAAGAGACCCTTAACTATAGAGAACAAACTGAGGGTTGCTGGAGGGGAGGTGGGGGGGGGGGATGGGCTAAATGGGTGATGGGCATTAAGGAGGGCACTTGTTGTGATGAGCACTGGGTGTTTTATGTAAGCGATGAATCACTAGATTCTACTCCTGAAACTAATACTACACTATATGTTAACTAATTTGAATTTAAATAAAATCTTGGAGGAAAGAAAGAAATATCAAATATAACAAACATAATTATAAAATATTATGATGGAGAGTTAAGACCAAACATACCAATTATATTGATAAATGTAAATGTAAGGCTTAACTCACCTATTTTTTTAAAGTTTTCAGTAGGACTCAAATAGCAAGACCCAACTATGTGTTACCTGCAAGAGAAACACCTAGAGCAACATGATTCAGAGAAACTAAAGGGGATGGACAAGTTATACCAGGTAAATGGAAACAATAAAAAATCAGAGGTAATGCTCTTGATATAAAGCAAAGTAGAATTCAAGTTGCAAAGCATTAAACATGACAAAAATATTCTGGAACTTGATCATTGTGGTGGTTTCACAATCTTGTGAATATACTAAAATGACTAGATTTTATACTTTAAAGGGGTGAATTTTATGGTATGTGAATTATATATCAATATGAAATTTTCTAATGATGGCGACTTTTTCAACGTATGAAGGCAGGGAATTTGAAGGAGCTCTCGATGGCCAAGCCTGGAATGAGTTAAGTAAGAAAATAATGATAATAATGGATTAAAACCTATAGAATGAGTAAATATGCATGAGCCCATGTTGCTATAAGTAAGTAATTGAATGAATAGATGAGGGAAAAGGGAAAGCTCTAGAATTCCAATTAATCAGGGGTGCCTGGGTGACTCAGATGGTTAAGCATCTGCCTTTGGCTCAGGTCATGATCCCAGGGTCGTAGAATTGAGTCCCGCATTGGGCTCCCTGCTCGGTGGAGAGCCTGCTTCTCCCTCTCCCTCTGCTGCTCTCTCTGCTTGTGCTCTCTATCTCTCTGTCAAATAAATAAATAAAATATTTAGAATTCTAATGAATCAATGTCAAAGGAATGTCAGAAATAGAATCACCACTAGGCACACATCATAGTAGTAATAGCTTCAGGCAATCATCAGTGAATTCTTAAATGGTGGGAAAAGTGTGATAAGGGACAGATTATTTGCAGAGTCTCAAAATACCTCCCTATAAGATACTTATGAATTATAAAATAAAATATAGTAACTCTGGAGGGGAGAACTCTGACAAACACCACCTTCACCAAGTGATTAGAGTTAACATACCAGTAATATGTGATGGGGCATCTGGCTGGCTCAGTCCAAGGAGCGTGCGACTCTTGATCTTGGGGTTGTGGGTTCGAGTCCCATGCTGGGTATAGAGATTACTTCAAAATAAAATCTTTTTTAAAAAAAGTGCAGTGATATGCTAATGGAGAAAGGCACAATAGCGCTTCTGTGGTATTCTTGCCAAAAATAAATATCTTCAGTGCAATTGGGAGAAAACATCAGGCAAATCCAAACTGAGAGAGATTCTCCAAAACAAATGGCCAGTGCTCTTCATAAGTGTCATGGTCATAAAAGAAAAAAAAACAAACAAACTAAGGAACTGTCACATATGGGAGAAGACTAGAAAGCATGATAATTAGATGTAATGTGGGATCTTCGGTCAGATCCTGGACCAGAAAATGGGCATTGATGGGAAATCTGGCAAAATGTGAATATTGTCTGCAAATTCGTTCATAGTATTGTATCAGTGCTACTTTCTTTCTTTTGATCATTGCACTCTGGATCTATAAAATGTCAACACTAGGAGAAGCCAAGTGAAGGGTATTTGGGAACTCTTTCAGGTTCTCTGTAAGTCTAAAACTAGTTCAAATAAAAGTTGAAAAAAAATGTGAGATCATCATTTTATATAAAAGAAGCCACTCCTACTTTATCCCTTGGTTCCCAGACCCTTATATTCTGATCAAAAGTGAAAAAACACAACATATAAGTCCTTGATTCAGAGGATTGTTCTGTGTTTTCTTAGATTCCGTATTTGTTTATTTGGCAGCTGTTAGTTACAGCACCAAACTAACAGCCAAAGTTGTTTACATCTCCCCTGCGATCCAGAGCCCAAACCCTGAACCACTTCCTCTACTTACTTCTCAAATACCAAGTCAATATTCCCCTGCCCTAAATCAGCCCTGGTACCAGACACCTAGGGACAGTCCCTATGTCCCAAAGTCCACCAGAATTATTCAAACTAGCCAATCCTAAGCTGTTTACCCTGCCCTGCCTTGACTTTCCCACAGAAGCTCCCCAAAAGGCAGTGGCCTATGCCTTCCCTTCACCCCTCTCTGACTCCTGGTCAACTCTGGTGCTACCCACGTGGCCCTGTGTGGTGTGCTGTGCCCCTTGTTTCCAGGGGAACTGTAAGTAACATTGAACTTTTCTCTCAAAGACATTGACCTCTCCATGTCATCACTCAGTCACCACTATTGATGAAAATCTATAGGTACCATTAGGATAAGGACATACCATATCCTATAGGAGAGCTGCCTAAAGCTAGCAAGATATTGTCCCCCAGTAGGCAGAGTAACTGTTTTGAGTAAGCACCCCACTGTTCTATAAAGCCTGCTGTTCCAAGATGGCTCGAGGTAAGACCTGTGATGCCCATGGTCCTGGGCCCAAATGCCTCATTACTTTTGCAGTCAAGAGAGGTTCCAGGCTCAGAAGCAGTGCTGTGGGGTTTACGGCCAATGAAAATCCTGGCTGAGTGAGGCACTGTGGTCAGGGAAAGCAAAGCCATCTCCAGAATAAGCAAACTCTGGAGAGGAATTTCTGCCACCTCCATCCCAGAGGCAATCCAATGTCATCAAACTTAAACTGAGTGTCTGGCTGATCTCTTGGAATAGATTCTGCTATATCAGGAGTTCAGCACAGGACTCTCCTTTTGGACCGTGAGGCATTTGTCTGTGGCAGTGGTCAGATCAGCTTCGCTGGAGAGAAATTCACATTGTTGAGGTCACCATGCAGTCTCCATCCCTGGCCCAGAACGACTTTTTTCATGAACCTATCAGGCAAGAATAGGTATGCCTGGGAAATTAACGTGTCACCTTCTACACCCTTATCCAGGAGATATAACATTACACTCTGAACCCATTCCAAGAAGTCTACCCACATACCTCTTTATTAGACCTCTTTGCCACTAAGTTTCTTTTTTCCTTTTTTTTAAGATTTATTTATTTCAGTGAGAGAGAGTGCGGACAGCAGTAGGGAGGGACAGAGGATGAGGGAGAGAGAAACCCAAGCAGACTCTGCCCTGAGTGTGGAGCCAGACCCAGGGCTTGATCTCAAGACCCCGAGATCAGACCGGAGCCGACACCAAGATTCAGACGCTGGACCAACTGCGCCACCCAGGTGTCCCACTAAGTTTCTTTTTTTTTAAATTTATTGAGACAGGGGCACCTGGGTAGCTCAATTGTTAAGCGTCTGCCTTTGGCTCAGGTCCTGGGATCGAACCCTACATTGGGCGCCCTGCTCCGCAGGAAGCCTGCTTCTGCCTCTCCCACTCCCCCTGCTTGTGGTCCCTCTCTTGCTGTGTCTCTCCCTGTCAAATAAATAAATAAAATCTTTAAAAAAAAATAAAATTTATTGAGGCATTACTGACATACACTATTATATTAGTTTCAGGTATACAAACAACATAGTGATCTGAGCCACCAATTTTTTATTTTATTTTATTTTTTAAAGATTTTATTTATTTATTTGAGAGAGAGAGAATGAGAGAGAGAACATGAGAGGGGGGAGGGTCAGAGGGAGAAGCAGACTCCCTGCTGAGGAGGGAGCCCGATGCCGGGACTCGATCCCGGGACTCCAGGATCATGACCTGAGCCAAAGGCAGTCACTTAACCAACTGAGCCACCCAGGCGCCCCCTGAGCCACCAATTTTTTAATTATGTTCTTTCCATGTCCCAGAACATCTGCCTAACCTTTAGCTTCCACCATGAATCACTATAGAACAGTGGTTCTCAACTGGGGGGGGGGGTGTCTCATTTTCTAAGAGATATCTAGCAATAGATGGAGACATTCTTGGTTGTCACAATTGTAGGGGACTTGGGGGGGCACTGCTATGGCATTGAGTGTATAGAGGCCAGGGATGCTGCTAAACATCCTACAAAGCATAGGACAGGCCCCACAACAAGAATTATCCAGCCCCAAATGTCAGGAGTGTCAAGGTGGAGAAATCTTGATATACAGCCACACTGCTGGTCATCCTCTTTCTAGGCCAAGTGGATAACCAGTTGTCTACTTCTCCGTCTGGACCCCTACCAATGGGCTATAATGAGACAGCATTCTATGTCCAGTTGGTACCAGCTTATGATCCACACCATCTGTAAGCCCGGCTTAAACTTTTTATTCTTCAGCTAGTTGGTCCTAGAGAACTACCCATGAGGTCAAATACATAGTAAGCTGGAGACTTGACTGCAAAGCAGAAGTGGGACCCTGCCGGGCAGGAACAGTTAACTTCAAGAAATTATAGGGACATGTGAAATGAATGGCAGCAATGTAATAAGGGAATGTTACAAGCAGAAACTGGGAATACTTTGTTACAAAGTATCTATAGTGTCATTTGAAAGCGGCTTAGATGAATTATAAACATATATTGCAAACTCTAGGGCAACAAATTAAAAAAATTATTTTTTTAGGGCGCCTGGGTGGCTCAGTCGTTAAGCGTCTTCCTTCAGCTCACATCATGATCCCAGGGTCCTGGGATCGAGCCCCGTGGGAGGCCTTCTTCTCCCTCTCCCACTCCCCCTGCTTGTGTTCCCTCTCTGTGTCTCTCTGTCAAATAAATAAAATCTTAAAAAAAAAAAAATTCTCTCTCGCCCTCTCCCTCTGCCCCTCCCCACTCCCTCTCTTAAAAAAAAAAAATGAGGCAAAAACTTGGTAAAACTGAAAGGAGAAATAGACAAATGCACTGCTTGTGGGAAACTTCAACACCTTTTTATCAGTAACTGCCAGATCAAGCAGGCAGAAAATCAGTATTGATGTAGTTGAACAAAACAGTACCATTAATCAACTGGATTTAATTATAGAATACTTCTATAGATTATAGAATATTACACCCAAGAGCAGCAGGATACATGTTCTTCTCAAGTGCAGGGGAACATTCACCAAGAAAGACCACATTTGGGGCCATAAAACACACCTTAACAAATTTAAAAGAATAGAAATCTGTTCTTCAACCACAGTGGAATTAAACTAGAAATCAATGACAGAAAGATTGCTGGAAAATTCTCAAATATTTGGAGATTAACTAACACCCTTTAAATAACACATGGATCAAAGAAGTTTCAAGAGAAAATTTAAAGTATCTTGAATTAAATGAAAATAAAATATAACTTGTCAAAATCTGTGGGATTCAATGAAAGTTCTACTTAGAGCAAGGTTTATGGTATTGAATGCATATTTTAGAAAAGAAGGTAGCTCTAAAACCAGTAATCTAAGCTCCTGCTTTACGAAACTAGAGAAGGAAGGGGAATATAAGCCTAACGCAAGCAAAGGGGAAAAAATAACAAAAATTAGAGTAGAACTCAATGAAATTGAAAGCAGGAAATCAACAGAGAACATCAATGAAACCAAAAGCTGATTTTATGAAAATATCAGTAAAAATTGATAAGCCTCTAGCCAGACTAAGAAAAAAAGAGAGAAGACACAAATTACTAATACCAGAAATAAAAGAGGGGTCATCACTACTGATGCCATAGTCATTAAAGGGATAATAAAGAAATATTACAAACAACTCTATGTCCACAATCTGGTAACTTAAATGACATGGACCAATTCCTTGAATGATATAAAGTAAGAAAACTTACACACACAAAAATAGATTATCTGAATAGACCTATATCTATTAAAGAATTTGAATCAATAATAAGTATATAAAATATAAGTTACTATTATATATTATTAATATATAACATAATTATAACAATAAACATGTGAGATGATGGATGTGTTAATTAACTGGATGGGAGGAACCCGATGTATCAAATCATCATGATGTACAATTTAGCAATAATACCGTGATAAATCTGAAAGAGATAAAAATCTATTTAAAAATGAACAACAATAAAAAAAAATTAATAACCCTCCAAAAAGGAAAACATTGGGCCAGTTGGTTCCCCTGGTGAATTCTAGTGGTGAAAACCCATTTAAGAAAGAACAATAAAAATTCTCTATAATCTCTTCCAGAAAATAGAAGCAGAGGTAATACTTTCAAACTCGTTCTATGAGGTCAGCATCACCCTAGAGCCAAAACCAGATAAAGACATTAGAAGAAAAGAAAGCTACAGATCAATACTGCTCATGAACACAGGTGTAAAAATCCTCAACAAAATATCAGGAAATTGAATTCAATGTACATCAGTTTAGGCTACTGATTTAAAAGAATAAACAATGTTACCAATGTTTCAGTGACTTTTAAAAACAGTAAGTGAATTATATATATCTGTAGTGGAATATATCTTAAGGAAAAAGGAAACTATAAAAATAAATGCTTAAAATGTGTTTGTTCATTATTGTTAGTTGTGGTGTTGTTATTTTTCTTCTGAGACTGTTGTGTATATAGTAGGGAACCAAGTGGATGAGAACTGGCATTTTTCAGTGCAAGAGAAAAAAAGGATACAAATGTACAAGCAATGAGGCTAGTAAAGCCCTGTCCTCCTAGAAGTAACAGTAGGATCTCATGATGGGTATTTTCCCTTTAAAAGAGAAATCTACATATTTCCTAGCTTTGTCCACTGAAAGCATCTAGAAACTGAGAACATCCACTAAAAACATCTAGAAACAATCTAGTGGCAATGAGCACATCTAGTTTCACATTGGTTTAGTAAATACAATTTCCTAGTAAGAAAACCAGGGATCCTTGGAGAAATGGATGATTCAAGTCTGGGGCAGAAAAAAAAAGATAAAAATGTAAAAGCAATGAGGTACTAGATGAGCCAGGAACGTCTTGTGATTCTGGAAAACAAACAAAAAAACTATAAAAGACTAAAAAAAAAGGTAACATAAAAGACTCACGAGCTAACTTGAAGAGGCTTTCATTGGCAGGATGGGACAATGTGGGGATTGATAATAATAACCACAGGGCGCCTGGGCAGCTCAGTCGGTTAAGCGCCCGACTCTTGGTTTTGGCTCAGGTCCTGATCTCAGGGTTGTGAGATCCGGCCCTGCATCTGGCTCCATGCTCAGAGTAGCCTGCTTAAGACTCTCTCCCTCGGGGTGCCTGGGTGGCTCAGTTGGTTGAGCATCTGCCTTCGGCTCTGGTCATGATCCCAGGGTTCTGGGATCAAGTCCTACACTGGGCTCTCTGCCCAGTGGGAAGTCAGCTTCTCCCCTGCCTGCTGCTCCCCCTGCTTGTGTTTGCTCCCTCCCTCCTTCTTCTCTCTCTCTCTCTGTGTCAAATAAACAAATAAAATCTTAAAAAAAAAAAAAAGACCCTCTCCCTCTGCCTCTCCCCTTCTCTCTAGAATAAATAAATAAATCTTTTTTAAAAAGAATAATAACCACAATTAGCTAAATAATATCAAAATGTTAAAAATCTACCATTTAATAATAATTTTTTAAAAGGGTCATAGCTGGAGCATGCCAAGGAAACAACTTATTATTTTAAAAACGGAAATAAAAGGAAAGCATCAAGCAATTATTTTGCTTTTCTTAAACTCACTGTACCAAGGGGCAACCAGACAGTTGATGAGGGGGAGTTGTCTTTATAGAAGTATTATAGAGAGTGAAAGAAGAATGGTGGACTTAGGGGGGCCTGGGGGGCTCAGATGGTTACCCGTCTGCCTTTGGCTCAGGTCCTGATCTCCGGGTCCTGGAATCGAGTCCCACGTCGGGCTCTCAGCTCAGTGGGGAGTCTGCTTCTCCCTCTCTCTCTCTCTGTCAAATAAATAAATAAAATCTATAAAAACCCAACAACAGCCAGTTAGTAGTATAGCTTTAACCAGACATGTGTAACAAATAAATAAATAAAATCTATAAAAACCCAACAACAGCCAGTTAGTAGTATAGCTTTAACCAGACATGTGTAACAAATCGAAAGGCAGCTTCATGATTATTGGTGAAATAGCAAAGCATTCCCATGAAAATTTCAGGAAAAAGAAAATGATGTCCACCGATATTAGTAACATGTGAGATTGTTCTGAAAGTGCTAGAAAATGCTACAAATTACACAATGCAACGAAGAGGCAAAGTTATCATTGTTTGGAAGTGGAAGGACTTAATTCTGGAAGACCCAAGAAAATAAACTGAAAACTCTTAGAAATAATAGAAGAATTCAGTATCTATCTGGTTTAAGAACTAATGTGTGAGAATCAACAGCTTCCCTGAAAACTGTGTCTGCAGACCAAATCCAGCTCACTTCTTGTTTTTGCAAATGAAGTTTTTCTGGAAGACAGCCATGCTTATTTATTTGCATATTGTTTATAGCTGTTTTTATGCTACAATGACAAAGCTGAGTAACTGTGACAGAGATCATATGTGAGATTTGCCAACCTCTGCTTTAGATAAAAAATAGTTAAAAATAAAATGGAAAATGGGGCACCTGGGTGGCCCTGTTGATTAAGCCACTGACTCTTGATGTTGGCTCAGGTCATGATCTAAGGGTTATGAGATCAAGCCAGGCATCAGTTTCTGTGCTCAGCTCGGGGTCTGCTTGTCCCTCTCCCTCTGCTCCTCCCGTTGCTCTCTCTCTCTCATAAATAAATAAAATCTTTTTTTAAAAAGTCTCTTTCTCCCTCTCCCTCTGCCCCTCCCCACTCCTTCGTCTCTAAAAAAAATAATAATAAAATGGAAAAAATCTAATTTATAACAGAAACAAATAAAAGCTATTTAGGAATAAACTTAAAAAATATGTAATAACTATTATATACCAAGAAAACTTCACAATTGCACAGACATAAAAGAAGATGTGAAGAAATGGTATTATGTATCTTTTTCTTGATAGAAACTAAATAAAGCAAGACTCTTTGATCTATTAATACCCTCCAGCCAAAGACTACCAGGAATACATCTATAGTTGGACAAATGGGTTTATTATTACTCTTACACTGTTGGGCATCTCAGTAAGAGGGTGTTTAGGAAGGGTTTATAGGATTTGGGCTTGTGCTAGGTGATTTGGGGGAGGGTTTAAGAAAGCCATAGTTCTGAGGCGCCTGGGTGGCTCAGTCGTTAAGCGTCTGCCTTCAGCTCAGCTCATGATCCCAGTCCTGGGATAGAGCCCCGCATTGGGCTCCTGCTTGGTGGGAAGCCTGCTTCTCCCTCTCCCATTCCCCCTGCTTATGTTCCCTCTCTCACTGTCTCTCTCTGCCAAATAAATAAATAAAAAGAAAAAGAAAAGAAAAGAAAGCCATAGTTTTTCTCTGGATTGGATACTGCCAGGAAGTGAGAGTATTTCTAGGATGGGATATGTTAACAAATTTTACCTAGACAAAAGCTAAAGCTGTAATTGGTAAATGTCACTTATATTACCCAAGAAGGAGAGATGTTTCATCATTTTTGTGGTTTGGACAATGTTCCTGTCTTTGTTGGTGTTCACATGATTATAGAGTGATCTTGTTTTTGTCTTGATCCTGCACGTCACAGAGTGACTTCCTCTGATGTTGATGTTCTGTGAAATTGTTCGTGTTTAACAGAACACCACGCACGGCATCTGGATGTCTGGAGGTGTGTTTCACTTTCTCAAATCTATAAATTAAGTGCAATTGTAATCTTAATTGCCAGTTTTGTATGTGTTTGTTTTATGAAAGAACTTGAGAAAACATATCTAACTTGGGTATCTGAACAAATAAACATTAGAGAGGACTTAAGAAACCAAAAAAGAAAACGTACTGCGAAAACAAAAAAGACATAAGAAGAAAAGATTGATAAATCTACCACAAAGAAATAAAAGTCACGGTTTGGAAAACAAGACACAAACTCAGATAAAATATCAACTCATTTGAGGAAGGGCTGATGACCCCGTAAAACAAACAAGCAACTCTCCCTACGAATAACATAAAAAGAGTACTTTTCGGGATAGTTTTAATTTTTTACAATAAGAACGTACCACCGAAAAACATTTTCAAGAAAAAAAAGACTGGGACTTGAACAGAGAGGCGGGGCTCACAGAGGCTCAGAGGAGCCTCAGGGAAGGACTACGCCTCCCAGGAGCCTCTGCGCTGATCGCCCCCGGCCTCCCGACAGGCTCCGCGCGTTTTCCGCGCCAGCTTTGGCCTTAGCCAGCAAGCGGCGAAGGATGGAAAGCAGCGACGAGGCGGCGGTCGAGAAGTGCCGCATCCACTTGCGCCCCGGCACGCTGCGCGACGCCGCCCACGCCACGCTGCACCTTCTGCCCTGCGAGGTCCTGGCTAACGGGCCCGCCCCGGTGGAGCGCTTCTTCACCCCTGCCATCCGCCGGGGCCCAGATGGTGAGTGCTCAGCGCCGGACTACGACTCCCGGCAGTCCCCGCGCCCACGCCGCGGTCTCCTCGGCGAGGAGCGGCGCGAGGGCTCCTGGGGATGGTGGTCCACCGGAGGTGGGGGGAGGGCTCCGAGGGGCTTGCCCCGCAAGGCCGGAATCAGGCCCTCACCGAGACACTGCGCCCGCCTCCTACAGGACTCGAAGTGTCGTTTCGGGGCCGCAGACTACGCGGCGAGGAGGTGGTGCTGCCGCCCGGCCTTGAGGGATACGTGATGGTGATGGAGGAGAAGGGAGAGGTGTTGCTGGGGCAGGACTTCTCGGAGGGTTCGTCGAAACTGCGAGAGCAGCAGGAGCTGGCGGTACCCCGCGAGGCGCTGGAGCGGGACTTCGTGAGCACAGGGGGTCGGGGCTGGAGGGGGGTGCGGGCGGCCGCGGTGTCCCGCTGTTGAGCCGGGCCCCTTCCTCAGGACCAATTTATCAGAGCCACCGCCAGTTTCGGCCGCTTCACGCTGTGGGGCCTGGAGGCCATCCCCGGTCCGGATGCCAAAGTGCGCGGGGCGCTCACCTGGCCCCGTCTGGCTGCAGCGGTGAGTAGGCGGATGGGCCTCACCTTTCCAGGCCCCATCCTTGACCCTGTGACTTCACGGTTGTTCCCTGGGTTGTCCAGAATCTTGCCCGAGTGGATTCGGGGCTTCGGGGCTGGGGAGTACACGGGGCAGATGGAGCTTGGGTCTGAATGGAGGACTAGACTGGTCAGGAGCAGTGTGGCTGCCCCACCTCTGACCTGTCTGGAAGGGGCTAACATTCTGAGTAGCTTGGTCCCTCCGAGAGAGTGTGGGCCACCGAGTCACTCTGTGTCAAAACTCCAGTAGTGACTCCTGTTGCAGATTCACGCACAGGTGCCTGAGGACTGAGAACTGGAACTTGACATTGAAAGCCACCGCTCCCTGCACCCCAGTAAACCAGCTCTTCATTTTGGAACCACTGACGGATTCCCTCACCCCCCAATAAACAAGCTCTTCACAGCACCTGCGAGTCTGTGGACACCTTGGGAGTCCCTAAGTTGGCACTGCCCCTTCTCCCACAAGAAACTTCCATGGCTCTGGCCCGTAGAAACAATTTATTGCCAAGGGGCAGTGAGGGCAAGAGAGGCCAGAACTTCGCAGCCAGTACCCACCCCGCCCCCCAACTCCTGTTTTACAGAAGAAATTTTTACAGCCACTAGCCCTCTGTCCAGAGCGCACCCCCCCCCCTCGCCTCCCTCGCACTGTACACAGCTGCCTGGCTCCGCAGGGTCCCTGGTTCATAGCAGGGCCAGACGGGCAGCCAGCTGACCTTGGAGCTGACCTGAGCCCGGAGCTCACCTCGGTGCTAGGCACCAGCCAGGCCCTACCAGGCCTGTCCTCTCCTTACAGAGCTGTCCTCAGCCCCACCTCCCTTGGTGTGCCTCTCGGGGGCCCCGGTAGGGCTGGGATGTGCCGTCAGCCCCAGTTCTGCTTTGTTGCCACCGCCGTGGACAGTGTCTGGTCACCACTTCCCCCTCTTGCTCCAGTCCTTGGGAGTGAAGTGCAGACACTTGGAGTCGATCCGAAGGAGCCGCTTGAGCATAGCTCTTTCATGTCCGTCCACGATGTCCTCCGACAGTGTGAGGATATACTGGCCCTGGATGGGAGAGGGGGCCGGGGGGAGTCAGCCCACGCAGGGCCCGCACTCTGCAGCCCTCCACACACCTGTCTCCCCCTGCCTGCCTCCCTACCTTGTAGTAGTTGATGAGGTTGAGGTACTGTAGAGTGGAAATGACATCCTCCTTCTTGATGCTGGTGATCTCACTGATCTCGCTGTGGGAGGGCAAAGATCAGGCCCTCTGGAAGCCTTCATCTCTGCCCCAAGCCCCCAGGAACCCCAGGAGTGAGGAGGGGCCATGCCATGCACCCCCAGGACAGGAGGTAGGGCCAGGCTCACTTGATGGTGATCTGTGGCCTCTCCCCGCTCTCTGACTTCAGCCCCATCAGGATCTCCAGGATGGTCTGGGACCAGTAGCTCCGGTAGGATAGGAGGCCAAGGTCTGAGAGGGGCTTCTCAGGGGTCCCCGTTTTCCCTTCCACTTTGGAGAGTTCATAGCCTACAGCAAGGGAGCAGGAAGGGGTGGGTAAGCGATCACACCTTTGTGCAACCGTTTCAGAACATGAGTTAGAGAAGTAAACTGCCTGGTTCTCATCTCGGCCCCGCCATGTGGGAGTCTGTGACCTGGCACATGGGGCTTGTCTGCTGCGTCTGTTTCCCCAAAAAGAACTACGGAGCATTCATTCTTCATCTCTGTGCTGTGGAGGGTTCTGAGGGAGCAGCTATAATCCACCTGGAGGAGTACTCGGGAGCCAGGGGAGTGCAGAGAAGATGACATGAAAGGCAAGCGCCTCTGATTTTCATCCTTCCAGACTCTGCCTGGGTCTGTGAGAGGGAAGGCAGACCCCCACGTGTGGTCTAGGCCTGAGAATGTTCGGATTTGCTTTGCGGTCGAATCAGTCCCCCCAGCTGTGACCCGAGGAGCATCAGCTGCTCCAGGACCAGGCCGCCCCAACTAGGTGTTGACAGGAAGCAAGAGAGAGGCACCAAGGCACTTCCCAGGGCAGAAGGCGGCCATTCCTCACAGGTAACTGACCTCTCCAGAGGTTCTCTCACTCTGCTCTCCTCTACCCTGCTGACTTCCGGCCACTGGCAGGCAGTTCCCAGTGAGCCCCTCAGGCCCTGTGAAACCTTATATAGCTTTGTGTCTCTTGGCAGAGTCTTCATTCTCTCCCTCAGGGTCCTGGGGTGTCTCCCATTACCTCTAGAAGCCCTTCTTCACCCTCAGTCGTAACTATCTTGGGTCACGGACCTTTCTCCCCGCCCCTCCCCATCTTTACCAGCCAGCCTGGCCCAATCTCCTGCGACTTCCACCAAGCAGCCTGGCTGGGAGCAGGACAGAGAGGCTGCTGCTTTAGAGAAAGGCAGCACGGAAGGGGAAGGGGGCACGGCTGCGTTCTCACTCAGCTTTGCTGGGCCTGCCAGTGCATGTGGAGTCCGGACAGATCAGCTAGAGGCCACACTCGCCTCAGCAGGGAGCTCCCGGCCCCTCCCTGGCGAGGATCTACCTGCCCTCAAGGACTGCCCGCAATGGGCACTTCTGGGGCACCTGTCCACTCCTGCGGGGCAGGACTGAGCACATCACACTGGTGACCTTGCCCACGTCCTGTCTCCACTGAGGTCTGAGCTTCCAGACTTAGATTCATTTTCTTTAAGTATCTGCCCGTTCTACCAAGCTGGGGGCTTCCTAAGGGTTCTATTAATAAAGTTCCTCAAATGGACCATGACCTGGATCAAGTCAAGCCTCTATGTCTCCACAGCTCAGGCTCCCTCCTGTCTCTCAGGTCAGAGCTTGATTATCCCAAGGGTTCCGTTAAGTGGGGAGTTGAATGGAGTGGGGTAAGCTGCTGGGAAGCAGAAGGGGGCCTTACAGTTGGGGGACACAGAAGAGTTCATGTACGCAGGGGCAGAGTCGCTCGTGGGCTTTATGAGACGGACCTGCCCGAATCCAAGGAGCAGAGGCTAAAGTCACATGAGTCAGTGCTTCTTGCTTTTGCTGAGTTAACAGCATTTTGAACATCCACTGTGTGCAAGGCTCAGGCCACAACTAGGAAAACAAAGCACTGGTCCTCACTCAGGAATTTGTATGATGGCCCAGAACCAGACAGATGAGCAACAGGGGCTCACCTGGCTTCTGCCCAGGGCTCTCGGGGGGAGCATAGGAGTCAGATTGGGGAAAGTTGGGTGGTACTTAGAACTTTAGCCAAGGAAGAGTGAGGCGCTGAAAACCTAGCCCAGACGAGCAGGGCGGTCACCCTGAGCAAGGAGAAAACCTTGGGGGAGTCTCAGCTTTCTTTCTGGCCAGCTCACCTGGTGGCAGGGCTGACAATCACAGCAACCCAGAGGCTATGGGGGAGGCGCGATGGCAGCACCAGCCCCGGGCCTGGGCCTGCAGGTGCCTGGCCCCAGCCCCCAGCCCCCGGCCTAGCGCGCAGATACTCACTGAACTCGATCAGCAGCTTGCCGTAGCCCCGGCGCTGGTAGGGAGGCAGCGTCAGGATGCAGGCCACGTTGTAGTCTTCTGTGGATTCCTTTTCCTGCAAAATGGGAGTGGGTGAGTGAGGAGGGGACACGGCTCGGGGCAGGGCTGAGAGAGGGTCCGGGTGAGTGCTCACCTTGGAGAAGTAGCCCACGATGTGGAAGCCCTTGCAGTCATACTCTGTCATGACATAGAAGAGGAAGGGGTCTGTATCATAGTACAACGTCTTGTGGTCGAGGAAGCACTTGGCCAAGAGACACAGGTTCTGGGAATAACTCTGCAAAGGAAAAGGCCTGTCACCACTCTGGGTACCCTGTTTTGAACGTGGCCGTTATTGTGGTTTCTTTACCCGAGGCTGATACGGGACGAGCCTTCCTCCCTAGGGCCTGCCTCATTCTCTCAGTCAGGCTGTCCCTGCCGCTCAGGCAGCTACTTCTCGGTGTCAAGGAGCCCGGGTACCAGCTCCGGGATAAGTGTCTGCCCAGCTGCCTTGCTGGGGAGCCAGGGCAGCTTTACCCCTGTTCCCCGCACCTGCAGCTAACTCCTGCTGGGGCGGGGGGGCTTCCACTGCCCTCTGCTATAGCACCAACCATCAACACATTGTGGCGTGTCTCCAGGAAGACAGACTCTGCCAAGGTTTAGGAGAGCAGCTCTACCCTGGTGACAGTCTAACAATGTGCCTGTCAAAAACCACAACACTCTCCCGCCTACAGTCACACCTACTGGAGACTGATTTCCTGTCCTACAAAGGAGATAAGGTATTCTGAAATTGAAAGTAACAGCCTTAGGGGCGCCTGGGTGGCTCAGTTGGTTAAGCATCTGCCTTCGACTCAGGTCATGATCCTGGGGTCCTGGGATTGGGCCCTGCGTCAGGCTCCTGGCTCAGCAAGGGGCCTGCTTCTCCCTCTCCCTCTGCGTGCTGCTCCCCGTTTGTGCATGCGCGCTCTCTGTCAAATAAATAAAATCTTAAAAAAAAAAAAAAAGAAGAAGAAAGAGAAAGTAACAGCCACAGGGGTCGCCCCAGCAAATGATTAATCTTGCTGCTCTGCTTTACCTCTATACATATGTTCTCCTGCACATCAGACATGGCTTTCTAATCAGCCTGCAGGGCACTGCATCTGGATGCCTAAGTCCACACTTAATAACAGGACAGCGGTGGGCGCCTGGGTGGCTCAGTTGGTTAAGCGACTGCCTTCGGCTCAGGTCATGATCCTGGAGTCCCAGGATCGAGTCCCACATCGGGCTCCCTGCTTGGCAGGGAGTCTGCTTCTCCCTCTGACCCTCCTCCCTCTCATGCTCTCTGTCTCTCATTGTCTCTCTCGCAAATAAATAAATAAAATCTTTAAAATAAATAAATAAATAACAGGACAGCAGTGAAAGCAGTAGTATCTCCCTCAAGCTTCCTCGGCACCCAGCCAGAGCTCTCCCCTCGGTTCAGGATGCCTCCCTCTCCCTCACTGCCCTCCATGCCCCAGGGGTGGTCTCACAGTCTTAGCTGAATGCATCCACATTACTCCCTCCTTCCTCCCTGCAGCCACAGACTAAGGCAGGTTTGAAGCCCAAAACCTGCAGTGACCCCTGCTCTTCCCCTAACTGACCTTCTTCTCACCACCTGAGCTCTTGTCTCTTGGAACCGCCTCACCTCATCCTCTCTGCCTTTAAGCCAGAATGATCTTTACCTTTCACACCATCTGTACATCCATGCCTGCCCTTCAGAACCCCACTGCTTGGGATCCCCTTACCCACCTTATCCTTCATGTCAAGGATCAAAGATCACCTCCTCTGGGAAGCTTTGTGGGCCATCTCCGAGTCCTCATAACCCACCCTTTGTTTCATGACACTTACCCCTGGGATCTGAGTGGATGCTGGCAAATCTGTTTTTTCTGTGGACTGTGAACTCAGGGAGATTTTGTCTAATTATTGATCACCTTTATACCTCCCACTACCTGCCTTACGGCAGGAACTCAACAAAAATGAGATGAACTAATCTGCTGGCCAGACTGCTCAGTGTTTTCCTGAACAGGGAAGAGCTGTTCATTTAATTTCCCCCAGACCACCAGTGCCAATGACTCCCCACTGCCCCTCAGCCACAGACCTTGTTCTTACGGCCGTCAATCTCAAAGAAAGAGATGGTGCCCTTGCGGTAAATCTCGTTGCCCGGAGGATGTCGCAGGTCACACTTGGTCTGAGGAAGAGAGGAGGATCAGAGGCAGGAGCAGGGTAGGGGGGTGGTAGGAAAGCAGCCCCCTGGGGCCCCTCATACCAAGTGACGCTGCAGACACTTGAGGCTCCGGCCGTATTTGAGGCAGAACTCACAGAGGTAGAGGACGGGCAATGTGGTGAGCTCCTGTGGGTACGGAGAGAAGTACCACGGCTTCAGGCGGTGCCGGCCCAGCTCGATGCACTCAATGTTCTTCATCCGGGTGACAATGTCGTCGTGGCTCCGGTCAGACACCAAGCTGCCAGTCATGCGTGGCGCTGACGGTATTCCATCTGAACTGTCCTGGGAGTCCTGTCCGGGGCCAGTGGAAAACACCAGGTTACAGGGGACAGCTCAAGCAGGACACCTGACAGCTCGCATAACCCTTCCGTAGCTTTCCTTGTTCGACCCTAACAACCACCCTATGTTGGGGGTGGGCAGGGGGGGCGGCGCTGGTACTGTATTATATCCCGTTTTCCAAATAAAGAAAAGGAAACTAGGAAAGTTCTCAATTACAGTTTGAAAAAGATTACCCAATGACTGACCTGAACCAGCTCTACCTGACTCCTAATCCTTCCAACAACCATCACTGCCTACCACCACTTATTTTTTTTTTAATTTATTTATTAAAGATTTAATTTACAAATAAATAAATAAAAATTTAAAAAATTTAAAAAAACAACTGTAACAAAGACTTAATTTACTTATTCATCAGAGAGAAAGAGCAAAGCAGGGAGAGCTGCAGGCAAAGCAGGCAGAGGGAGAAGCAAGCTCCCTGCTGAGCAAGGAGCCCGACACAAGACTTGATCCCAGGACCCTGGGATCATGCCCTGAGACGAAGGCAGATGCTTAACCGACTGAGCCACCCAGGCTTCCCTAGTTTAATTTTTAATCTCTACACCCAACGTGGGGCTTGAACTCATAACCCCAAGATCGAGAGTGGCACGCTCTTCCAATTGAGCCAGCCAGGTGCCCCTTCTTGTTTATTTTTAAACCAATCACTGAACTCTCCATCCTGCCTATGTTCCCCCCCTTTTCACCCAGCTTCCTTCTTCCCCAGACCTACCTCGTCAGTGCCCAAGCAATTTGATTTTCGCTTCCGTCCTGGCTGAGCTGCCACTGCCCTACGGGCTGATCCATTCTGCAAGTAAAGTGGTGAGAACGGAAGGGAGGGTGGTGAGAGGAGCCTGAAAGCGGCTGCCAGAGGGAAAACAAGAGGAAGAAGAAAAGGGTTTGGGGGACTCACCTGGGGAAAAACTGAGGCTGGGGCTGTCTCGCTGGGCACTGGAGTTGCTGGTGAAACCACCTCCACCTTCCGTTTCTGCAGAGAGAAACCAAGAAAGGTGGGTCAGAAGGTAGGGAAGGTGGGACCTCAGAGGAAAGCAAGGTCCCTGGAATTGCTGAGGGTACCGTTGAGCGGTGGTTGGGCTGCAGGCAGGAGCTGGAGGAGAGCGGCTGGTCAGGCTCGCCACCGGGAATGGCCTCCCGCTCCTTGGGCAGGTTGAAGCGGAGTGTGATCTGGACCGGGATTGGCAAGGTCTTCCCGCTGGCCTGGGCGGAGGCCGGCTGTAGAGATAGGTCCAGGGTCTTCCTCTGGGGTGGGGATGGTGGTGGTATGGGAAAGGGGAGTAGGGGCCCCTCAACATGGAGTAATCAAGCCCCACCCTCTGCCCTCTCAAGGACATAGGAATAGCTACTGGACTCTGGAAGCTACAATTTGGCCCCCATCCTTTGCAAGCTGAAGCCAGAGTGGAAGGGTGCAGCCTTCTACCCATCCAAAAACCCCTGAGGCCAAGAGATGAGAAAAGTAGGAGGCAGGAGAGAAAAGGTGAAACAGGGGACCTACTCACCACCTCTCTCTCTGGAGAGCCGGGGCGAGACCCAGGAAGTCCGTTCTTGGTGGGGGTCTTGGCCTCTTTCTTGGGGAACTGAATCTTCTTTAGGTCCAGCCGCTCGTGGGTCACCCATTCATCCAGGCGTTTGTTGACTGCAGCAGTGGGGATGGCTCAGGAAGGAATGCCAGAGGCTGTCTCCCAACCCCACCCTGCAGCCCCACCTCACCCCAGCCCAGGACTCACAGTCAATGTAATGGACGTAGAAAAGCTTGCGGCCACTGATGTCCTTCACGCTCAGGATCTCGGCCAGGGCTGTGGGAACAACACAGGCAGGAGCTTTAGTCGAGCCAGGCGATGAGAATCCACCCTCCTGAGACCTGATCTCCACCCCAGGCCGGATCCCTAAGCCCCAGCACTTGGAAGCTTTCTCCCAAACCCCCTTTAGTCACCAAGTGCCGCCCCCTCTCCAAGCCCCGCCCTGTTCTTCGGTGCGGCAGAAAGCCACGCCCCTCGGGGGGTATCTGCGCCCCGCCCGCCCCAGGATTATGGAGGTCCCACCCCCTCCCGAGGGTTCGGTTGGCTCCCTCCCGCCCCTCGCCTTCAGGTTCCTTAGCCCCGCCCTCCGACGTCACTCACGCCACTCATCTTCGTTGTCCTGGTTCCGCCGAAGCACGGGCAGGCGGCAGCCCTCGATTATCTCCCCCTGGGGAGACAGCGCGGCGCCAGGGTCGGCTACTGGGGGGCCTCGGGTTCTACCCACCTCCCCTGGCTCCCTCCGCCCCGCCCCGGGCACCGGACTCACCACCTCCGCCATCTTCCCTCCCTCCACTGCCACTTCCGGCCCCTCTGGGAGACGTCACTTCCGGGACAGAACGCGCTGTAGGCCCGCGCCTCCTGAAGCCTCTCTAGAAGAAGACTTTTGAGAGACACCGCTGCCCAGCTGGAAGCAGGCAGCCGTGCCTTTTGGCTGGCGGGAGAGTGGGGTGTTTTAAGTTTCGGTCCGAGTCCTGGGCGGAATCCCCGAAAGGCGCACAACGATTGGAGGAAAGCGGAGTCCGTCACGTGACGCCCACCGGGTGCGACGCCGGTCACGTGGCTACGGCGCGGGTCACGTGGGACCAGGTTTGTGCTTCGAGGACGGCCGGGCTCGGGCGTCTCCTAGTGGGAGCAGGAGGTGTCGCCAGGAGGAACTGCGCGTGCTTGGCGCCGGGGGCGCGGTGGTGGGGGGTACTGGCGGGGACTGGGAGGCTGGAGAAGTGGGCGGGACTGCGAACCGAAGTTGTGCCTGTCGGGTTTGTGGACTTCCTTCCTTGGGGTTGGGGATGCAGATGTTTCGGCTTGTTTTGTATATTAGATTTCTCAAAAAATAATATTCATGCATGCGTTCAGCAGACATTTAGTGATCTTCTAGCAGGTGCCAGGCATTATTCTAGGAGCCTGTAATGCACTAGTGAATATGGTAAAGGAGCCTGACCTCATGGAGCTTACAGCCTTGTGGGTTGGGAGGAAAGAGAGATATAGATAACAAGTGTATTTAAAATTAAATTATGGGCGCCTGGGTGGCTCAGTTGGTTAAGCGACTGCCTTCGGCTCAGGTCATGATCCTGGAGTCCCTGGATCGAGTCCCGCATCGGGCTCCCTGCTCGGCAGGGAGCCTGCTGCTGCCTCTGACCCTCCCCGCTCTCATGTGCTGTCTCTCTGTCATTCTCTCTGTCTCAAATAAATAAAAAAATCTTTAAAAAAATAAAATAAAAAATTAAATTAAATTATTTAGTATATAAAAAAGTGATATGTATTATGAGAACACCCCCCCCCCCAAAAAAAAGTGCAAGCCAAAGGAGATGGGTAGGGAGGTTGCAGTTTTAAATAGAGTACTCAGGGCAAGCCTGGCTGTAAGTCTATTACTTGAGCACAGCTTTAGAGGGGTGAAGGAATGAGCCAAGCACATATCTGGGAGGAAACTGTCCCCCCAAGACAGACCACGATAAAGGGGAGAAAAGTATGATCTCAGATCACCAGAAGAAAATGTCTAGAGTGAACATTTTGGTTGATTGTCTTGTAGAACGGGGGTGGGCAAACTGGCCTGTGGGCCAAATCCAACCCTCTGCTCATTTTCCTACAGCAAATGGGATGGTTTTTATATTTGTTAATGGCTGGGAAAACATCAAAAGAAGAATATTTTGTGATACATGAAAATTATGAGGTTCGACTACTCCTCATTTATGTTTTATCTATGAGGCCTTTACATTAAGACTGAATAATTGTGCTGGGGTATGGTCCACAAAACCTAAAATATTTACTGTCTGACCCCTTACAGAAAATGTTTGCCAACCTCTGCTTTATAGACTATTGTGTTGTCTGTTCAATTCAAAAGTAGGTTCTTGATTGTGTATATTGTGCTGTTCCCAGTTCATTTTCTTAGCAACATAAATTGAACCCTTGTCACTAAATACTCTATAGCACTACTTCAATGGCTACATTGTGATTTGTTGTTTAGATGCATCTTAGCTACCATAACCAATTGTTCTTGAATATTCCAAGTTATTTCTGATTTTCCCCTATTACAAACAGTGCTACAAGCATCCTTCTTTATATGTACAACTTTCTAGATATTCATCCCAGCATGATTTGCACAGAAGATATAAATGGGGTAATGATTTTATCTGCCTTTTGGAAAGATCACCCTGCTGGCACTGTCCTTGGATTGAAGGAGGTAAAACCAGAACAGGACAAATCGGAAGACTGTCAAAATTGGCCGTTCGCTGATAACCGTCAATAAATCAATAAATGTTTATCCAGGGCCTGCTGTGTATCACAGTTAGCACTAGTTCAGTCCCTGCTGCCTTGTCAGAGTCACAAGCAACCCATGTTAATCCCATGGCTGCTGCTTAATGCTATTGGCAGTGGCATTTGGCATGGTTGGTCATTGTCTCATCCTTGAAACACTCTTGTCCTTGTTTCCAGGATACCAGACCCTCCTGGTTCTCATCCAACTTCCGTGGCTGCTCCTTATCTCCTTTGCTGGTTCCTCTTCCTGTCCATGACCGCTAAATGTTCACGGGCGCCAGGTTCAGCCCTGGATTTCATGTCTGTTTCCACACTCTCCCTTCATGATCCCCTGCAGGCTCATGGCTTTAAATACCATTCATGTGCTGAGGTTTCTCAAATTCATATCTTCAGCTTAGATCTCTCCCCGCAACTCAGCCCTCACTGCCCGTTCAGCATCTCTACCTGGTTGTCTAGAGATCATGTCCAAAACCAAACTCCTGGTCTTCCTTCCCAACTGTCTCCTCCCACTATCTTTCTTGTCCCTGTCAGTGATGCTTTATCCATCCAGTTTCTCAGACCAAAAACCTTGAAGTCATCCAATTTTCCTCTCACACTCAGCCAGTCAGCAGACACTCTAGGCTCTATCATTTCTGTCTGCCTTCACCACTACCACTCTGATGCAAACTACCACCATCTTCTCCCAGAACTATTGCAATAGCCTCATCCACAGGAACAAGAGGGATCATTCAAAAATATTAATTCACACCCAGGTGCCTGGCTGGCTCAGTCAGTTAAGCATCTGACTCAGGTCATGATCTCAGGGTCCTGGGATCTAGCCCCTAGTCCGGGAATCTGCTTTTCCCTCTGCCCCTCTTCCCACTTGTGCACATGCACACATGCTCTCTCTCTCTAATAGATAAATAATTTATTTATTTATATAAGTAATATATATATACATATAAATTCACACCATGTCACCCTGATGATCAAAATCCACCAGTGGTTTGTCACTCAGAATAAAACTCAAAATCCCTGTATAAATGCAATCCCATTACCACTCTGCTTCTTCTTCTGCTGTCCCCTCACTATGTTCTAGCCACAATGGCCTCCCCATGTTTCCAGGACATAGCAGGAAGTTCCTTTCTCTGGTCCTTTGCTGTTTCCTACCTGCAACATTTTCTCCCCATTTATCCACCTGGCTCAGTCTCTCACCTCATGCAAGCCTTTGCTCAAAGGTCACCTTCTCAGTGAGGCCACCTCTGACCTCCCCAGTTAAGCCTGCCATCCCCTACCCACCTCATCACCCTCCTCCTTTGCTCATTGTCCTACATAGCCTTGATCACCAGCTGTCGATCGTTTTTCTTACTCACTTGTTAACTATCTTTCCTTCACTAGAATGTAAGATCCATGAACACAGTATTTATATTGTTTTGTCCGGTGCTGTTTTCCCACCTTCTAGAATAGTGCCTGACTCATAGTAGGCATTCAGTTAAAAACTGTCAAATGGATTAAGCACATGGTCTCCCCAGGAGCCAGAGATGTGAACTGATATTTACTGCAGAGAGTGATTAGTCTTTTGAGATGGGAAGGAAAGCTGGGGCCCAAAGGAGGCAGATCCATGGAGGGATCCCAGAGCATCTGATATATGGCCTACAGCTTAGAGGATGAGTAAGTGTTGGCCAGAGAAAGGACTTGGGGATATTCCAGGAACAAAGAGAGTAAAAAAGGAGAAAAGAAACAGCTCGTGAACGGGGCATCAGGCATTCAAAAACATTAATTGAGCACCAACTGTGTGCCTCACTGTCAGAGCAACTTGAGTGAAAACAGAGGCAATCCCTATTCGAGGGGGATGGACAAGAGCAGTTCACAAAACAAAACAAAAATAATCCCTGTGGAGATTGGTAAGTGTCGACGATAAAACAGTGTGATCTGGCCAAGAGTGAGGCCCAGTCAGTGTGGGCCTCTCTAAGGGCTTTCAGTCAGGATTTCTACCACCCACAGTGTCACCGTGCTCTGCTTCCAATTGGTTCAGTGAGGGAATGTCTTGGTCCATGTGGTCCAAAGGCATGCAGGGCTTGAGGATGGCTTCACTGTCAGCGTCCTCAACAACGAAGCTTCTGTCTTTCCACTCCAGCCTCCTCACGGTTGCCTTCCTCCAACATTAAGGTGGGCTTCTCTCATGATCGAAGGACAGCTGCCCCAGCTCTAGGGCCTACCTGTGTCCAAGGCCATGTCCAAGGAGAAAAATGTCTTACCCAGCTATGGAAGGAAAGTCCTAGGCTTCCCTTAACGTGAACCATCTTAGGGCATGTGTCTTTGCCTCAGCCAATGCCTCTGGCCAGGGGGATGGAATTCCACTTGTTGGGCACCTGGGTGGCTCAGGCGTTAATCGTCTACCTTCGGCTCAGGTCATGATCCCAGGGTCCTGGGATCGAGCCCCACATTGGGCTCCCTGCTCAGCGGGAAGCCTGCTTCTCCCTCTCCCACTCCCCCTGCTTGTGTTCCTGCTCTCGCTGTGTCTCTCTTTGTCAAATAAATAAATAAAGTCTTTAAAAAAAAAAAGACAAATATCATATGATCTCACTTATACGTGGAATCTTAAAGAAAAAAATGAGAGGCGTCTGGGTGGTTGTAGGTTAAGGGTCTGCCTTTGGCTCAGGTCATGATCCCAGGGTCCTGGGATGGAGCCCTATGTTGGGTTCCCTGCTCAGCGGGAAGCCTGTTTCTCCCTCTCCCACCCCCCCCCCGTTTGTGTTCCTGCTCTCTCTGTCAAATAAATAAATAAAACCTTTAAAATATATATATATATATATATATATTTTAAAAAAAGATGACTGAGGGAACAAAGGTTGTTGGGGACACGACGCATAAGAGTACAACTGCTCGTACTGCCATGGGGCAGGGACTGAAGGTGCCTGCAGACTGAGATGTGGCCAAAAGCGTGGTAGAGAAGGCCGTGGCTGGCAGGGACCCAAAGACAGGGGCCTCAATCCTGTTGGGGGCTTGTGGTTCTCCACCCCGGCCCCAAATCTCTGGGGGTCTCAG